GGCACTGTAAGGTTTCTTGCCCTCGCCGGGGTACTTAAGGCTGTTGAAGTAGGCGTTGCACCACTCGTCCCAGTACATGCTGTTACCCTCGTTGACGGAGTAGATGGAGCGCGAGGAGGGCATCTGCATGTTGGGGTGGGTGAGGATGAACTCGCCCAGGGAGTTCTCGAGAGTGAAGCCGTTGACGCCGCCACCGCGCATAGTGATGACCAGCTGGGCGGAGGCACCGTACATGGTGAATCCAGAGGCGACGAGGCTGGTACCGGGGTGCAGGAGGTGCTCGGGGCCGACGGACTTGTTGGGGCCGAGGACTTCGTCGGGGAGCTGGAAGATACCAAAGATGGTGCCGACGGAGACACCGGCGTCCAGATTGGAGGAACCGTCGATGGGGTCGCAGACGACGGCGTAGCGGGCGTTGGGGTGCTCGTCGAACTTGATCACCTCTTCCTCTTCTTCTGAGACGACGATGCGACACTTGCCGGAGCCGCGCATGGCGGAGATGAAGATGTCATTGCCGATCACGTCTAGCTTCTTCTGGTCGTCGCCGGTTGTGTTGGATGAACCGGCCAGACCGGTCAGGTTGATCAGAGAGGCACGACGGATGTAGTAGGCGATGGACTTGAAGGAGAATTGGAGGGCATGGCACAGAAGAGTGAAGTCACCGGAGGCTTCGGGGTACTTGATCTGCTCTTCCGTGAAGAAGCGGGAGAGTGTGACAATGTCGGTGTTAATGTTCTCCTGTCCGACGGGGGGTGGTGCGCCTGAGGCCATTTTGAGGGATATAGATGGGGGGGTTGTAGAGGGGTAGAAGGGGAATTGTAAGTTAAGATGCAATTGAGGTAAATTGAATTGAGCAAAGCTTAAGTAGCAGTGTGACAAGCTTCAAACAAGAATCTTAGAAACAAAAAAGTTGTAAGTGGACCGTAACGTCAGAGGGGAATCAAGGTAGAAGTAGTCTGGGGGAAGAGTGACCTCAGTCCCGACTGCCGCCCTCTCGTTTTCGTCATTCTGCCCCGCGTGACCCTCCGACCCCCTCGCCCGGTTTCCCCCCTACCTAAGCCGGGAATGCCCGTGCTCTATCTATATAAATTTGATGAAAAGTAGCCAAATTTGATTGCTGATCATAGATTTTCATATCCTATAATAGCCCATAGCTTAGCAATTTTTCCGAGCTACATCTTGAACATACACCTGCAAGTATACCCAAGTGACGGTCTAGATTCTTCCGATCTCTCCCTTGCCCGACTCGGCCTCGGGATCAGCAACGGAAGAATGAATTCCCTGTTCCCCACTCATAGTCATGCGGACTTGAAAAGATTCAGATTTAGGTAATGCGGTCAACAGTATTGAGAGCTATCTAGAGCTAAAAATAATAGTCCAGGGGATCTACGGAGCAATATCAGGTGGAACTTAATAATGTATATTCTAGACCCTTTACATTACAAAGAAAAGTGGGAAGAAATCCCGCATGTGAAAACGAAAAGAAAGCTCTCTAGTCGACAGGATCATCCTCCAAAAGAGTCTTGAAGCTGAACGGCGTGAAAGGAATACCCTCGCCGACAAAGTGCTTACTCATAGACTCGACCCAGTGCAGACGGAGTGAGTGCAACATGGCACTGGTTCCCTCCATCACACAGAGAATGGCAATTGTCAGCACAAACCAAAGGTAGAAGCTGACGACAATCATGATAACTCGGGTGACGGGGCTCTCCTGGTTGAAGGCGCTACCAATAGTCATGGTCCAGAGAACGATTGATAACTGCTGGTGCGCGAGTGACAGTGCCCACAGACGGAGGTAAGAGGCCGTGTGGGAGATACAGTTGAGACAGAATTCGATGGTGTGGATGACCTGGTGGATCATGACTTCGCCAAACTCGAATTCCTCATGCTCTTCACCCTCGTGGATATCCTGGGCGATCATGGCGACAGCCTCTCCGTCACTGGCAAGACTGTCACGGTTGCCGAGGCCGCCGTCCAAATCCTCGTCTTCAAGAGCACTAACCCGGGATTGCTCGCCGAGGCCACGGTAACCAAGGGCACGAGACCGGTTGTGCTCCCAGCGGAGCCAGAACGGCTTGAGGAAGAGCATGACAGGCACCTGGACCAGGGCAAGGAGGAGTAAGAGGACCTGTACCGTTCCTTGTCCCGGGTAGAGCTGTTCTTCAACAGTACCGGGGCTCAGGAACATGAAGATTAGCATGTTGAGGAGACCTGGGGGGTTTTCTCCTTTCTCTCCCCAGTTGACAGACCACTTGTAGAGCACGGTCAGGACGAGGTAACCAAAGATAGACTGGAAGAAGAGCATTCCGGGAACAAAGTTGCCCCAAATGTCAACCTTGGACTTGAAGTGCCGTCCGTTGACGTACTGCAGGCAAAGTGCATAGGTCATGTGGCACCAACCGAGGAGAACACTCATCTTCATCTTCATGCTGTTCGAGAAGAGCAAGGAGTTGTCCGCCTCATGCCAGTTCCAGTCCAAACCGAAGGGGAAGCGATAGCCTTCTTTCAAGGTCGCCTCGACCATTTGACCGGCCTTGATTTCCTCTGGCCACTGCCACTGACTGGGGAAGACGGTAAAGGATTTCGAAAAAATATCGTTGTAGATAAATCCGGTATAAATCGAGAAGAGACCCATCATCAACATGACATATCGTCCATAGAAGGCCATATATGTCAGCTCGTCCAGCTTGGTCCGCTGCAACTTCTTTTCCCAGAAAATCATAGCAGAGGCGGCCATGGTCATCAGTGCACCGTGACCGCAGTCACCGAACATAACGGCAAACATGAAGGGGAAAGTGACGACAGCATACAAGCCAGGGTTGACCTCCTTGTACTTGGGAATACCATAAGCATTCATGATAGTCTGGAATCCCTCAGTGAACTTGTTGGTCCTGACATAAGTCGGAGGAGTCTTGTTGGTCCGAATCTGGTTGACAATTGTGGGAACGGTGAGACCGGCACGGTCATTGACATCCTGAAGAGTGGACTTGATCAAAGCAAGAGAGTTTGTTGGGCACCATGCCTCGGCGATCAGCGTCTTCCGCGCTTGGTCGTACGAGAACTTGTTCAACGTATCGTAGACGGCCTTCTCTTTCTTGACAATAATCATCCACGCGGCGAGGGAACGGGCAATCTGTCTGAGTTCCGCATCAAGGGTGTTCTTGGTGTTGTTCAACACGTTGCCAACGTCTCCCAAACGGGTGTTCACTTCGTGGATCTGGTCCCTGCGCAGTTCGCTGTTCTCATCAACACCGTACAAGGATGCGTTGAGCGACTCCGAGATCTTGCGAATCTTAGCAAGGATGTTCTTGCCGTGGGCAAAGATAACAAAGACATTCTTGTGGATTTCCTCGTTGGTGACCGGGTCGATGATAGGCTCCGGAATCTCGGACTGGTTCATGTAAAGGTTACCGCGAAGAGTACGCCAGAGGATACGCTCAAAGGCTCCGATACGGTCTCGGGGGATGACACCAGCCACAAAGCCAATGTTCATCTCCGAGAAGCTCTGCTGACCGTGGGTGTCGCCGTTCTGACCGGGGGCGTGTTGCTCAACGTCGCGAAGCAAAGGAGCCTCGTCATTATCGAAGGATTGGCGGATATCTTCCGTTTGGGTATGGGCTCGATCGAAGAAACCACCGGCCTCTCTCAGCACCCATCGCCATTCGCTCAGCTCGACTTCGCGCTTCTTCAGGGTCTCGTAGCTGTCGTTCAGGGAGACGATTCGCTGCTCGAGGCTCTCACTGCGATCAGCCAACTCATCAATCTCGGAAGCCAGGGGAGCAGCCAGTGTATCGGAAAAGTCGGAAGAAGATCTCATGGGAATGGCGGCCTTGTCCATTTGCGAATGGAAATAACCTGCCAAATTAGGACATTGTCGACTTGACTAGCGGGGAAAAACTCACGGAGCTGTCTCTCAACATTGTCTAGGCGACGAATCTCCTTGGTAAATGTACGTTGGAAAGCGTTCGTGTCCGGGTTCAGCTAGAAACAGATCAGCGGGGGTCATCAGAGCAAAGCGTTCTGTACAACTTACATCACGGAACTGAACCTCGCCAACTTCACCCAAAGCACTCACAACCTCTCTTCCGATTTCGTTGGCAATATAGAGCTGTGTCAAGCTCATATCCGCCGAGCGGAAGAAGGTGTCCTGCGGAGCCATGATGGAAAGGAGGCTACCAAGAGCCGTGTCGTCTCACCAAGGGCAGGAGGGAAATAGATGAGAGACCCAGTTAGGTCAATAAATCCAAAGAGAGACACTGATCTCGGTGTCGGTTGTTGCAAGAGTCCTGACGGCTCTCCTTAGATGCTGCTTGTTCTCGATGTGGCTCGGTCAAGCTGGCCGCTTTTGTCACACGTGACCTTGAACGTCAATTGATGATATAATACAGATTTGATGACAAAGAATTCGTACAGGCCAGGATATCAACAGCTAATGGATATAAACCGGACATGGCTTTCCCTCCGTTTTAGTATTCAATAAGTGTGATCTATATGGCCCCTCAGCTGAAAAGGATGCAGTTCGCCTTATCAAAGCCCTGCACCCCCTCCTCCAACCTCCCACTCAACTCATATACTTATCTATTTCAACTATTATACCACCAGCACAGGTTAGCCAACATCGTTTTCCAGAATATAAATACCTCTCGATTTCTCAGACTCACTACTCAAAACCATGCCGCTCAAGACCCTCAATCGTGCCAGGGTATAGGATCAGTCGTACAAAGCTCGTGCCAACTCCAAAGGCTGTTATAAGGCCCGCAAAGATGGAAGTCAGCAGAGAAGAAAAGATCACGAATGGCGTATAGTAACCGATTGTGCTAGTTTCGGATCCGCAGAGGAGCATTCCAATAGTGGCGCCAACCACTATTTGGATCATCATATAACCGCATATGATAGGAGAGTGCTCACGTACTAATAGCTGGGTAGATAATACTCCAGCACATTAGTATCGCTATTAGAACACTTTGTAAATATCGCGCCGGCAATAACGTTGCGGTTCTTTATAAGGCGCGGCGGTAAAGCAGCGGCATCACCTCGGCGGCGTTGATTGTATGAAAAGCGACAATGAAGACAGCAAAGGTGACAAGTGGGCCGACAATTTTACCGTCGTCCCAGTACTTCGTGGACTTAGACCACGTAGTTGTTGTATTGGATTGTTGAAAAGGCTGTCTTAATTGCAGGTACTGATGATGGAAAATGTCTGTAAGGTGAGAGGTGTTGATGCAGAAAGAAAGAGAAAGAAGAAAGAGTGGTTCTTTGATGGCCTATATATGGCTAGAAATGACTGCACAGCACAAATGTGCCGGAAGTCACTTGCTGTTTACAACAGGGCGCAATATCACTGCAATCACGATACTCTGAGTCTACACCCTAATTTTTCTGTCCTTGTAACTCAACTAAATGGTATCACTAATTCAAAAAGAGCAGCCACTTCGTCCTCAAGGACCAGTTCATCGTACATGACAAATCCAGATCTTTGCAACACCTTGACACTACCAACATTCTCCTTATTGCAAGCCGCAAAGAGCCTCTCTTTCGGCAATGCCAATTCCAGCCCTTCTGGATTCCTCCTTGGAAGCTTACACCACTGATCCACAATAGCAGTAACAGCCTCAGTGGCATAGCCATGCCCCCAGAACTCAGGATGGAGAGTATATCCAATAGACGGTGCCGGCACAAGAGAATTGACTCCCGCAGCACCGATGACCCTTTTTAATGGATCATTCAAGCGGATTATGGCAAAGAAGAACTGTCGTCCGAATGTGCCTGCTGCGTCCGGTGTTGTGAATGTCTTTTGGGCAATTAGAGCTTCGGATTCTGATATATGCTGGTGAGGAATCTTTTGTCGGCTATATATTTGTCAGGTATTCTGTCTTTTTCTTGGTCTTTTGCGATCTTTATATTGGGAGCTTGTCTTACAGCCAGTCTGCCACCTCTTGCCGACGTCTAAAATCGAAGATTGCAGCGGCATCTGCCATGATTATAGGTCGTAGATACAATCTCTTCGTGTATATGGGTTCTACATTGCTGGGGACAATCACCCTGGTGACTTGGTCGGGGTAGAACCTCATGTTGGCGGATGTTTATATTCGGGCTGGTGTTAGGTTTGACTCCGTACAATTCTAAATTCTGAAATTCCAATGTTAGTCTGTAACCAACCGAAAAAGATCAGATGTGTTATTACCCAATAAATTATTGCTATGTAGTTGAGTGTGCTGTTTATGTTGGTGTCGGCGCAATTTCGAGATGAGCGTGCCACCCATGAGTCATGTCTAGCGGTCTTTTAATTCCAAGCTAGACACTATATACTCGGGCACTTGGTTGTGTACATGGTTATCTCTGTGATAAATAAGTAAATTCGAACCAATGGAGCGATTTAAAACCTTTAATTGCTTGAGGGTATGTGGACGACATAAATATTTTCTACACAACCCAGAAACACTACATGTACTTCAATAAATCATAACCAACACACAAAAAAAATTGATTATCGACTGAAGGGTAAAGATCAAGAATGTATAGCATATCCATGAAAGAAAGAAGAAAAAGCCCAACTCCAAGCCAACTCCAAGTACGCGTCGGTCAATTCATATTCACCCGCGGATGGCACCCAGCAACACGACAGGAGAATCAATATCCTCGAGATCGCGTTCATGCGCCACCATCTCTCTTAGCATATTCCTCCTCCATCCGCTCCTCGTACAAGCGATCCGCCTCCTCACGGGTCAGAGCGCGACCACTCTCCCCATTCTGGGCCGACGAACCGGACGCAGCGGGCGCGCCGCCAGTAGATGTGAAGTAGCTTTCGTTGGAATTTTGCTCTGTAGTGGAATTGGAATGCCCATTTGTCGTGGAGTTTGTGCCATTTGCTTCGTTTTGCTTGTCGAAGAGCTCGGCGGTTGGGACAGGCATGTTGGGCGGCGGATTTGCGAATGCGACGGGGATAGTCGGTAGTCTGGAGGATGGGAGGATGAAAGAGTTGGTAAGACGAGGTTCTTGAATGTGCACGGTAGATCCTGGTGATCAGTCCAGTGTGAGCTGTGGCTTGTGAGAGTAGGTTGCTGCTTCAATTATAGCTGAGAGTGGATTTGGAGCTCTCGCCACAGGTGTGGCGAGGCGGCTTTTGAGTCAGACGTCATATCAACACAGGCACTGCCCGGTAGAGCGGGAGATGGGCTACATCGTAGAATCAGGATAGGAGCAGCAGAGTAGCTGTCTTGTCAAGAAAGACGAATGGGAGACAAGTTCATGTTGACACTGGCCTCGTCTTGTCGCATCTTGCGCGAGTGTTGACAGAACTCCGCGACGGCGAGGATCCACGCGACATCGTGAACTTCCGACATGAAGAATACACTAAAGGACATGCATGTATTTACGTTACAAGCTACGAATCCCCTTCTCCAAACTCGAGCCACTGGCCCGAAGGTTGATGAAAAGAAAGAGTCCACGAATGGAGAGTGCCAAAGAATACGCCTGTCAATGACCCGAAAGCCGTTGAACAAACTGTTCCGCCGCGCTGTGCAATGCAGGGACCAATCTGTGGTGAGCCGCCTTCATGATCGCAGCCACCCAAACAAGGTAAGTATGAAGAAGAAAGAAAAAGGAGAGGAAGAACGGCGAGAGGAGGGAGTATATATGTTAGACGAAAAGAGCACTAGTCCTAAAGTAGACAGATCCGAAGCTAAGCGAGAAATGAGTCCGGGATATCATTGGTTCGTAACCGAGCGACGGGGACTCATCCCTTGCTTGTTACCTGGGCGCCTCCAGCTACCTACAGGCCTACTATAGGTAGGTCCGTACCTGTCGGCCCGTGCCTTGCATGTCATTCTCCTACTGTACATAACCGCTCAGGGCACATGGTTGGAAATAGTGTCTACAGGACCGTAAGCCCAGTTGCGAAAATAGTCGATAATTGATCCATTCTCGTAAATCACTCGACGCCTCAGAAAGCCAGGCTCCATCACCAAGCTTATGTGGATCCACACCCCTATTCCACAACTTTGTATTGTGGTCCTCCGTAGCATCTGAAAACCAGAACCATGAGAATTTCGTATCCAGACTAATCGGGATATCGTCCGTCGGAAGTTTTGCTCTGTTCAGAAAAGGATCCCTTTGCAAGAGGACACAGTAGCCATATGGCTGAAACCCACTCTTAATCTCTAGCTAATATCAGACAGGCGCGCATCCTCATCAAAGTGTGCCATGGTTAAGGACCTCCTGAAGCCTGGTCTAGTAGCACGCTAGAGGGAACGGTGTGCTTCGGAGAGCTTGATGCTCGGGAAATGCGACTCCCTGTTCACCGCATGTCATGCCCGTGCTTCGCAGATTAATTTACGGGATTCTCCTGGACGATTGTTATTTTTCTTTTTTGTTTTCTTGCTAGTGTTGCGTCGCTAGTCTTTTTCTTCTTTTTCTTCTTTTTGTGTGTCTCTGGTGGGATGCATCCTGTATGTCTAAAGACAGTAGTGTAGTCCGCAAGTCCATGTACATGTATGTACTAGTCCACCACGATGGGACAGACGGTACATGTACAGTTACAGTACATGTACATCCCGAAAAGCGGGAAAGAGAATCCCTAATCGCCGCTAACTGTACGCATGGCACTTGCATGGCGTCAAAGTTTGCGGCGTCAAGAGAGAGAAAGATCACCAAGGAAGAGCCTGTAGGATCGACGATGGCCAGTGTGCCTGCAGCCAGTCAGCAGTCCCAGCAGAATCAGGGCCCAGACTGGTGCCTCGCGACCGCAAAAAAAAGGACGGAAACGGCAGGATTGGCAAATGGTTAGTCTTGGCCCTAACGGGTGGAAAAGGGGCTTATGATAGGGTGTGATGCATCTCTGAGTAGGGGAGTGGATCACTCGTGTGGCTATCATTACTAGAAATGCTCCGAAGGTGGTAGTCTGGCAGAGTGTGTCGGGACCGCGTGTTGATCGGTCTGATAGTCGTTGTAGATCAGAGACATAGTGCCAGTAGGAGGCGGCAGGACGGTCTCTCCCTCAGGGTGCACTCTGTAGACTACCAACATGTATAGGTTGAGGTCGACGGTTTCTTTCTGCCTGAGAGCTTGCAGGTAAATGTGGATAAAATGAGTCACCTAAAACATAGCACAAAGTTCTTTGATCCAGAGGTTCTAGGTAGGGCTGGCCAGCCCCCTATTCGTTGAGACATGGAACCGGCGTCATTAGTGTAGTGGAGACTTCGTACTTTTTTTGAGCGTTTGATCCAGGACTATAAAAGAGAAAAGGGGCTTAATTAGGGGCATTTGGAGGTATAGTGTACAGTATGATTCGTACTCCGATTAGAAGTTGAACATTCTATGGAATGATGCGAGTATCACGTAAAAAGAGGCGATCCAAAAAGTATCTTTGAGTATCACGGGATCATTGCATGATTGTTGATACGCCAGCGATAGGGCACATCAGGTTCCAAAATGCACAGAAAGGAGGGGTTGTACTACTGCTGGTTGGTTGTCCACGAGGGATGGCACGCCACTCATAGAGTCCGATATCAGAGGGTCATGGGGTCTCAAGATTGCAGTCGTGATAACCAACCATTCTGCAGAACCCAAATATGGGTACACATCCGGCAAATACCACTGAGTTCGTCCCAGGATCATCATGAAACACGAAAATGACAGGCTAGTTTGTGGTGGGGTTGTGTACAGGGATGGCCTTACAGTAGGACTTCACAAAGGGATACAAAGTCCTGATAGCCCTTCCGAGGGAGAGCCTGGCAAGTTTGAATGCGGAGTAATACGAAAGTCCCAAACGCCTTTGATTTGGAAATACGAATGGTGGTTTCAACGGCCCCCTTGACCCGTGTAACGGGCAACTAGAAAGGCGATGTGGAATGAATGCCCAACGGAGGTGGCGGTCCACCGAATCGTAGAAACCTCCTTACGGGCCAGGAAGTATGAAATCGTCCACTCATATACATCCATGACGGCGGCCAGATGACCTGCCGCCGAGAACCCCGCCATGACGATTAGATGTATATATTTTTTTAGTCGGCGCAGCAGATTGATGAAAATGCTAGAAAACACCATCAGAGACACTTGTCGCGTGTTGAAAAGCTCTTAATTTGCTGTCATATCGGTAAGGGGATCCGAGCTGCACGGGTAAATTAGGGGCGACCATACCAGCCGTTCAACCTGCATGGACGATCTATGGTGTGATACTGGTTTCATGACCCTTTAGCCAAGATTGAGAAGAGTTTTCATCCCAATCAATATCGAGCTAGATTCAGTTAGACCATGTGTTCTAGCGTCATGCTAGACAAAGAATATTGGATTCGTGTGTATAGATGGCTTATGTTTCACAAGCACAGAAAAGTTAGATCTGAACTGTGCAGACTACAGAGTACGAAGTACTGTAAAGAGGATATTGTAAAATGGAAGATAGTAGAAACAAGATCCAGAAACTAGAACAACAAGAAAATACTGTAAAAAATAAGTTAAAAAAAAGAAAGGAAAAAAAAAAAAAGGAAAATTAACCCCTGAAAGTTACATAATCAGCCCCACCGTCTGGGCTCCCTGCAGGTCTTTTCCTCTTTGGGAGGCGCAAGCGCCCTCTCTTCTTTTTCTCCCTTTTCTCTCCTTCTTCTTCCCTTTCTCATACCCCCCCTTTCTGACTTCGTGATACCCGAGCTCTACTTGTAGCTCTTATTTCTTTTGCTTTCCTTTGAGATACCCAATACCCCAAACCGCTTTTTCTACGAAGCTCTGCTTCTCTAATTAATACCCCAGCCAACTTCGGTTTAATACTTATAATCATGTCTGAAGTTCAGAAGACTGTTGAGGAGACCCCCGCGGCCGTCCCTGCTGTTGAGACCGCCGTCGAGGCTCCCGCTGAGACCACCGAGGCTCCCAAGGAGACTGCCACTGAGGCTACCGAGGCCACTGCTACTCCCGCCGTTGAGGAGACCACCGAAGCTGCTGAGCCCGCCAAGGAGGAGGTGAAGCCCGCCAGCGAGGGTACTCTCGGCTACAAGGCCCCCGGTCTCGTTAAGTAAGTTGCACCTGTGATTGCGATTGCAGAGACATCGCAAGCTAACAAGTTTGTTCGTTTAGGGGTTTCCGTTTCTCCAAGCGCCACTTCTACTTCAGCGAGGAGGCTGTTGAGAGCAAGCAGCTCTCCGTTTTCCACCAGAACGAGAAGCCCGCCGTCGCCAACCCCATCGCTGCCTGGGCCAGCCAGACTGGTAAGGGTCTCCTTTTCTTCACCAAGCGCGCTGAGGACAAGGCCACCCCCGCTGGCATCTTCAACCTTGTGAGTACACACGCGACTCGGATATGATGCGACAAAGACTGACAATTGGACAGGCTGAGGTCTCTGATGTGACCAAGGAAGGATCTAGCGAGTTCCTCTTCAAGGTTGGTGGCCAGAAGCACACCTTCCAGGCTTCCAGCGCCGCTGAGCGTGACAGCTGGGTTGCCGCCATCGAGGCCAAGTCCACTGAGGCCAAGGCTGAGAAGGAGACCATTACCTCCAGCGAGGGCTACAAGGCTGAGCTCGAGAAGCTGACCAAGCCCGCTGTCGCCGTTGCCGCTGCCAAGAAGCCCGAGGAGAAGAAGGCTGAGGACAAGAAGGAGGAGACCCCCGCCGAGGCCGCTGAGCCCGCCAAGGAGGAGCCCAAGGAAGAGAAGAAGGAGGAGAAGGCTGCTGCCAAGAGCCGCTCCCAATCTCGCAAGCGCACCAGCATCTTCGGTTCCTTCCTCGGTAAGAAGGACGCCGAGGAGAAGAAGGAAGAGAAGGTTGAGGACAAGAAGGAGGAGACTCCCGCTGTTGCTGAGGCCAAGGCCGAGGAGCCCGCCACTGAGGTTGCTGCTGAGACCCCCGCTGCCACTGAAACCACCGAGACTCCTGCTGAGGCTACTGAGACCACCGAGGCTGCTGCCCCCGCTGAGGCCACTGAGGCCGCCAAGGAGGAGCCCAAGGAGGAGAAGAAGGAGGAAAAGAAGTCCAAGCGCGCTTCCATCTTTGGCAACTTCTTCCAGAAGGTCGCTAGCCCTTCGCAGGAGAAGACTGAGAAGGAGGCCACTGCTCCCGCTACCGAGGAGACTGCTGTCGCCAGCACTGCCCCCCAGCTGGAGAACCCCGTTGAGGAGGCCGCTGTCAAGCCCATCGAGCCCGAGAGCGTGACTGCTCCCGCCGAGGCTGAGGCACCCAAGGAGGCTGCTACTGAGACCCCCGTTGCCGAGGCCTCCACCCCCAAGGAGAAGCGCCGTACTTCTTTCTTCGGTAACCTCGGTATCAAGAAGGAGAAGAAGGCCGACTCCGATAATGAGGCCACTGACGGCGAGGCCAAGGAGACCAAGGCCAAGTCCAACAAGCTCGGCGGTCTTTTCCGTAAGCCCTCCAAGGCTGTTAAGCTCGATAAGGAGGAGGTTGCTGCCGCTGAGACTGAGGCCAAGGCCGACAAGGCTGAGGAGACCCCCGCCGTTCCCGCCAAGGATACCGAGGAGACCCCCGCCGCTGTCGAGGAGACCCCCAAGACCGTCGAGGAGGTCACCGAGGAGGCCAAGAACGTCAACGTGCCCGCCTCCACCCCTGTCCAGGCTGCTGCATGAACTCATACTCCTCGGAGACGTGTCGTGGAGTTTGAAAGATGGTGGGACATGTCCTACCCACCCATGGCCCACGATATTCCTGACGGCCTCATCCGTTGAGACCTAAAGGTGCAGATTTGATACCGTTTCGCTCCGTTGCTGTTTTGTGCTGCTTTTGCTCGCCACTGTCATCATCCCAACACTCCATGGTTTTATATTTCGATCTGGGGTCTGAGATGATGACAATGAGATACCCGCTGTCGATTTTTAATCTCTTTTTCTCTAAAAAATAATACCATCGGCGCAAACGACGCCAGCAGCCCTCCGTGACTGCTGTTCATTCCTTTTACGACCTGCAAACCACGTCTTGACTTTAACTCGCGATGTGCTTATGCGTTACGTGGTGTGTCGCCCGACTAGATTGATACCACTGCCGTTTTTGGTTACTTGCTTTCGTGTTCGATACCCTGTGGGAAGGATGGGTGATATATTTTGGCCTTGTTGTTTGGACTTCGATCTCGTCTTTGACTTGCTTCTTTTCCTGCGACCTCCAAATTGTCCCTCTAATGTTGTCTACCGTTGTACCTGTTCCCTGCGGCTGGTTTATTTTCCTCCCGTGGAGGTGGCACGCCTTGCGATAGGTAATACTTAATAGAATCTCTCAGTTTTTGTTTTATATTTTCCACGTAATCAAGTTCTCCGTAGCCGTCTGCTGTTCTGTACATGACATTGATCATACACCGTAGTGTTGGTGTCGCGGTCGACCGGTATACCCGTTGATCTTATATGGGTCCGATGCGACGTCGGTGGGAACCTGCTGCAGGGCCCAATGCAAGCAATGCGGCAGTTGATCCTTTAGTGACTCCATCGAGATGCGTTACATGTAACCTTGAAGCTTAGGGGTCTTGCATGTGGACTGCTGTATATTGTACAACGAGTGTCACAATCGTGTATACGTTGAAGTACTTTCATACATCCGATTGCCCCGAAGCGAGCATGTCGTATGTTTTTTTTATTTTCGCTCTGTTGTGCATCTCTCTTTTCACCTCTCCTTTGGCCGTCGTCCAGTGGTAACTCCGAGATTGCTAATTGTACCCCGACAGGCTATCCACAGTTTAAGTGACCCCACTGTATGTACTTTCTGTTTACGCGATCTCACCAGCGAATAGCGCCTCGTGTCAATGCTATTGCTAATGCCACATGTACATGTCTCTCTACTCGCCACAAGGTGCCGTGATCGCTTACCTCTAGGAATGAGCTCGAACTCGGGTATCAGTATACACAGTGTTAGTCGCCTCGTTCTTGGTTGTAAGTTCTTGGTAGCCTGGAGTCAGAGCAGTACCGTATATGCGAAATGTAAGGGGTAATATTATAGGCATTCTTGTCGTATGAAGGGGGATGAATGTGTTGCCTTGTTTTTTGTAGATTATACAGTTGCAGTTCTATGTAGATTGACTATCATCACGCTGATTGTCAAATCTGAACTGTCCAATATACCTGACCCCCTGGACAAACAATGTAAATTAGATTTCCAAACTCATGGTTAATTTGAGGTCGGCACGTACAACTGCCATCAGTTCAACTGTTCAGTGCCTTACCTATACCGCCAGTTCGTGAACACCAACTACTGAATTGGTCAAGCTTTACGGAATAAAAGCCTGATTTCACAACATAGGAAGCGGTCTGGACTCTTATAGATGGTGTACGGTATGATATTGACGTATTTGCCGTCAATACAACTTTTTCCAGAAGCCATGTGAGCGAGGAATAGTTCGCACAGAAATCAACAGAGCTTGGGGATCCACTGTGTACCACAGTGGCTTTTGGGCTGTGTAGTTTCTAAAACCATAATATCAGTGCTGTATAGAAAAGTGGCTTGCGAATATTGAAATTCAATTGTATCCCTTGGTCGTGTAAATCTACAGAACAAGGCACATGCATAGTCATGCCAATCAGAAATCCTGTCGATAGCGGGCTCCCCATTCGGGACCGGGTCGGATCCTGAGCCCATGGCACACAAAACGAAATACGAAAATGGTGGAAAACGAAATCGCTAAATTGGGGCCTAAACCGCGAGGGCTTGTCCCGCCAAGGACCTTAGCTCCAGGAACGAGTCCTGTAGTAGCAACCGTAGCCCATATTTCTTGGAAACATGAAATTGCTCATGCCATTTAAAGCCACCGAGGTTCCCCCAGCACATGCGCGTAGCAACTTTTTCAAAATCGCTGTAGAACCGGAGTTAATAACATCAACTCCGGATCCGATGGAGAATGTCAAAAGTCAATTTTACGCCCTTCGGCAAGGCTAAGAGAAAAGCGGACTCTTCATAGGACACGGGCCATGGACACAGCCCACCGCGGGGACAAAATTGGGAAAAGATCGGTGGAGCCTGCACTATCTAAAGAGCGTCATTCCCGATACACGAGGGTAAGCCCCGGTAGGCTTCCCTGATTCTCCAAGTAAGCGCACATGATATAGAGGAGTAACGATGCGACAATGTCTAGTTAAATGTAGACTGTTTTGAATAGAGGTGAACTGAGAGTATACTAGATCAAACATCCATGGAAAAGAGATTATAGGGTTGGACGAGTGGAGTCGGTACCTGGAAGATACCTTTACTGCATGTAAGAAATGCAGGACGCGTAGGTATCCAGATGTATCCAGGATGGATGCCTGGGAATCTTCGCCAGTGGGCCAATCAGCATCGCGTATATGCCTGTGACTCACACCCCGTGACCTGCCCATCGCTCAGCCCCGTGCGGCTCGAAGGCCCCGATTGGTCAGCACCGCACACTGAGCCCGAAACGCTTAAGTAGTGCCTGAGTCCCCGCGAGTGCCTGATTTTTTCTTTCTTTTCTCATACCTGTTTCACCCTTTTATTTCATCCCACATTTACAACTCAACCGCCAAATTGCTACCTGACCACAACTACACTCGAAATACATACAGCCACAATGGGTGTCTTCTAAGCTCCCCGTCTCGCACTAGCCAGTCTTTCTCAACAGAGAACGACATCATTTTTCCAACCGGAACCCAACCCTCTTCCTCAACTATTCCCCCTTCAGAGTCTCCTGTCCCAGGACCTCTGAACTTCAGCATCGCTTCGCGTAGCTCAAGTTCTTCCCACAACAACCTTTCCCCGTTCGACTTTTCGTCGTTCACCACGGATTACCAACAGCAACCATGGCTTCCTTCGCCCCCGCACACCCAGCCCTTGGCTTCCAATCAGAACAACAACAGCAACAACGACAACAGTGCCCGAGAGGACTTTGTGCTCTATCCTTCCGCTCCCAGACCGCAGCCTCGCAGAGACTCGCGTGCTCCGATCGTGAACACAACCCCTAGACCGTCTGCTCTCCAGCCATTCCTGGCGCAGAATAATTCTCGACGAAACTCCTTCAATCTGCAGTTGCACCGACACCTTCAGCAGCAGCTCTCTGGCTCTCCTGTTCCAGACCCCAGAGTGACCCAGCTTGCCCGGTCCCCCTCTTATTGGTCCCACCCTACGTTCAAGCACACCCGTCATCACGCGGCTTCTGTGCCTTCCAATTCTCCACACACCAACCGTCCGCCGATACCGCTTTTCAACGGTCAGGCCTCGAACCAACAACAAAACACTCAAACATATCGTCGCGTCATGTCTACTCCCAATTTCCTGGAAGGTAATTTACCATACGTCTCACCTTATTCAAGCGACTTCATCGCTAACTCTACCCAAGCCCCTCACGACGACCTTTTCGGTCTTCCCTCTGCCGGTTTCAACGGCATGGATTCTCCTCTCGCTTTTGACTCTATTCATATGGGCGATGACGAGCTGTTCTCTGGTCCTCCTGGTACCATCTCTCCCAAGGACCTCATGATGGACAGCTCCGTTCCTCCCTCTGGCACATTCACCGACCTGAGCACCCCCTCATTCGAGTCGCCCGGCAATTTCTCCCAGAACACCTCACCCATGTTCACCGACATGGACCTGGTAGGCCACGAGGAATGGCCGTCTCTCTTTGACGGCTCGGAACACACGAACGCCTTCGACGTTGCCTCCCTTGACGTCGCAGCCGTTCTTGCTGCCGAGCAGCTCAAGAAGCCCTCTCTACGCGTGTCTGTTGCTCCTTCGTCTCCTGCCTCGCCTGCCCTCAAGCGCTCTTCTCCCACTCGGTCGTCGCCTGTCCCTGCCTCTGGCGGTGTCAAGCACTCGAGCATCGCTGGAGTCTGCGCCCGCTCGCGCAAGAACCTCACTCCCGTTGAGTTCGACCCCAACGACCCCGTCGCTGCCAAGCGTGCCCGTAACACCGAGGCCGCTCGCAAGTCTCGTGCCAAGAAGATGGAGCGCCAGGCCGTTTCCGAGCGCCGCATCGAGGAGCTCGAGGACATCATTGCCGCTCGTGACGCTGAGATTGCCAAACTCAAGGCTCAACTCCAAATCCAAAACACCTTCCAGTGATCATGATGCTTGCTTTCCTTTCCATAATATGTTTCCCTGTGTCCTGTCTTTTCGGCTTTGGTTCATGCCGACCCGTTTAGGGTTCTGTGGTGGGCGCGGGTGATGGGTTAAGCCTAGCCTCGACGTCTCACCGAGATACCAGTTTGCTTCCATCTGGATCTCTATAAAAGTTTGAGACGTTTGATCATACACGTCTATCGTGTTTTTCCTTTCTTATTCAGTCTGACTGTCTTTTGTTATTATTATTTTTAAACCGCTCTCGGTTTCTTGTTCTGGCCGGTTCTGATCGTCTCCCTCACCTTTGGTGCTGGGATTGACTCGTGGCTATCTTAATATGGTATTTGCTTTTGATACAATCAATTCTCTGCTCTGTTTTTATACTTTCTGGTATCATCAGTCCTTCGTAAACGTCCTTCCATTAGATCTAGTAGGTATACTGCCTTCTGCAGGGTCCATGTTGAGATGGGTGTTATCCGTCACGATTGATGACTAGGAACGAGCTGAGCTAGGAGTTTCATACTCCCGACCTTGAATCTGAATAATGCAAGTTAAGGATTCTTCATTAGCTCGACGAAGTAAGGAAGAAATCCTCCACCGAAGATGGTCGTGGGCAAGAAGTGCTCTGCGCGTTGCATGCTGTATTCGGCTCGGGAATGAGTGTTCCTTTGCGACTTGCTGCGAAGTGGGCCTGATTACGGCAACATCGAAAGTCCTCGTGAAGGGCTCTTGCATGACTTTGACCTGTTCGCTTGGTGAAGAACGGTCTAGCTGGAAGGCTGAGGAATTTTGCGAGATCAAAAGCTGAAAGTCCTTCCAAAGTCAAAAAGAGCCGAGCCAGATCCCACCACATCTGGGCAATTCGCTATGTAGTCCTAGTTAGAAACCTCCCGCTCTATCCACCAGTTCAGCCATGAGCAAGGTCTTCTTGAGAAGAAGGCCTCCCTTCAAGTCTCTTCATGTATTTTCCAAGACATCTCTGTTGTTCAGACAGGCGAAGAGAAAGAGATCCTGTTTGAAATCCAGAAGGGACGGACTCATTCTTCGGAATGACCCTGTTGCTTTTTGCTCCTAATAAACCTGGATTCAAGGTCCTTTCTCACATCAAGAGTCAGTCATAGAGTGGATATCAAACCGAAGAGTCATGAACAAAGACCTGAGCCCGGGACCCTTTGTACTGTTTACCGGGTTAATTAAAACTAGAGGGGTCTGCAAGTCGACGTAAAAATGTGCGGTCTTTGAAAGTGCAAGATAGCTATTCATGTAATCCATAGCACTAATTATGAGAAATAGATTTATTGCAATAACGGAGATTTATAAAGAGTGACTCTATACTGACGAACAGTAGCACCAGTATAGTAGAAGGAAAACAAGTTGATTGATTCGCATCTGAGTAGAAGCTGGGTCGTATTTTCCCATTCGGTCTTTGACGTTGAGGTCAATGAAACATCTTCACATTACTGCTTAGCAAGTACAATGGCTCCGGGTAAAGGAGTACCTTGGTAATTCGGCCCCAGGAGATTTGACTGCATAAATATTAGTCAACAAACTCCAAACCAGTTTGGGGTTGCCATAATTAGTGAACATACCGACATGAAGCACCCTTTATCAGATGAGCGATATGTTGCATCTCCACACGCCGGTTTGGAGGCACATAGATCCGCACATGCTTTAGCATCAGGCAAAGTAGCGGAACCAACTGATTAGAATATTAGCAAACAGGAAATTATATACAGAGGGGAGACAACGTGCCATCTGCCGGTAGATTGGTTGTCACATCGCAGTACACTTTGTACGTGAGGCCATTCTTAACATAGTTCTTCCCGTTATCGGCTGGGCAGGTCGGGTTGTCCGTAGTGGGAGTTCCCGGGGCACAGGCTGCTGGTTGATAGACAGTTCCGATAGGACAGCAGCCCGATTGGCCAGTTGTTATATCGGTGTAGCGGTTTCCTATACTTTATGTCAGTTTATCTCATGTTGAGGATACCAAGAAAACGAGTGTGGATACTACCCACCGACACAAGAGGGACAGTAGCTCTGATCTGTAGAGAGACCAGGACCAGCGGCAAGGGCCCCAGACACCAGAGAAGTCAGAACAATAGCAATAAGATAATTCATCATAGCGTGATAATGCTGGTTTCTGAATAGCGGAGCAAGGTGTTTACAAGGAGAATAGCAAAGAGTCTCCCAAAATGGGAGCTCTTATTTATATGCGAAGCAATCAGACTTGAAAGGATATTGCTTTTGCACTTACTATATCCAAACCATGCTAGTCTGCTGCGTAACTGCGGGGATGTAATGACTATGCATAATTACTGCATCAAGTTTAATAGACATGTCATTTTCCAAAGTAGAACCGGCCGCAAGCCATTAAGAAACTGCAAGGCGCTGGGTAGATAGATTGAAACAGCAGCTCATGCATAGTTGTACGAAAAATGGGGTAATCGAAACAGCCGTGTAAGAAGCTATCACCTAAGAGGAAGTCAATTCTTAAGCTCCAAAAGTTTACACAGAGAAGCTTAGACCTTCGCATATACGGGAGGACTTAATTACCTCGCTGTCAATTTCACCGGCCATTTGGGATTTGTTATGGACCACGATGCCTGTATAAGCGTCATTTAGACATCAATTTGTGAAATTATACTAACCTTGCTCATTGGCGACCTGTCAGATCCTATAATGTAATGGAATTTGAGGCAAGAGGAGCCATCTAGCAGCAAATCTACTGTGGGGGTTCGGCATCCGCTCAGGATAAAGCGCAAGTAAGTAATTCAATGTTGTGAGACAGGCTCACTAGATTGTGTAAAAGCAGACGCATGCCCTAAGCGCTAGGGAACCATCGGCACAAATTTCTGCAGATCTACAGCAGGTCACTTCCTGCCTGCACTATAGAAAGCCCGCATATAACTAACCCAAAGTTGTGAGATAGGCGGGCCAGATTCTGGGAAAGTAGTCACCTGCCCCTTTTTCATAAGACGAGAATCCGATGTAGCACAAAGCTCTGTGTGACATGAAGTGGCATTAGAGCGGTCAAAGGGTGCCGAAAACGCCGATCTGAAAGAGGCTAAGAATTATACTCATTCGCGGGTTGTGGCGCAGTCTACTCGCAGGATCCTAACAATGGCTAAGTAGAAAGCTCTATTGTGGCGCGATTAGTTGCTACTAGTTTACTAGGATTAGAGATCACATTGATAGTGCTAGGCTTTCTATGATAGGACGATATATAGGTTTGCACCTGACGGAACTAGCGTGTTACATTTCATTAATATAGTTTACTCGGTCCGCTCACCCCTAGGCTTAGCTCAGACTTAGTGAGCGAACCAGGGCGCTTAGATGATGAACAGTGAGCGGATCGGGGCGCTGAGGGCCGTGCTCAGATCAGTGAGCAAAATGCAAGCCGATATTTTATGCTGCGCCAAGTGCTTTGTGGCTGGCTGACTTCGAAATGGGAACGTTCCCGAATTTCTAGTGTTAATTGTATTGCTTGCAACCCTAGGACTAGATAGACCAAGGAGGAAGATTTATATACGAGATAGCCTTTAGTGAAGCTGCATGGATTTCTCGCTAGGTGGAATCCAGAGTGTAGAATGTAGAGGCATAATAGTATCATTAAGCTGAACCTCGGGAACAATCTCCCATGCAAGCCAAGTACTGAAGCCACCTGGGACAGGCGTCGAGCTAACGTTACCCTGTTTCACTGCTTTATGTCCCAGGGGCTCCGGGATGACCACGATGGTCTCTTCACTGTGCATGTGATGGACGAAATGCTCATTGTGGGTAATGCGAATGTCAGGATTACATGACAAAAGACTAAGCGTGACATTACCTGAGATAATAGGTGGCTTCCAAGTACTAAGTAGTACAGACCTACGAACCGAGCTCGGAATTAGTATCCTACACTTGACCGAAACCTACTTGGACGAGGGTAGCTCCTTCAGACATGCGACACAGTGTCACAGTCTACCCCAATCTATCAAAACAGGTGTATGAGTATGTGTATAGCGGTGCATAAACCAAACCCAGCTCAGACTTGCCTTTATAGACCTCATTAATTCCCCCATCTTCCCCAGTCCACGACGTCCCCAAACCATCCATCCACACCCACAAAGAACCCTCCTCACAAGATCCACGAAGCTACCACAGCAGAACACATACAGCACACTCATACCTCTCTCTACCGTACCCTGCCCGATTCCTTTCAGCATGAGCCCCGCGCTGTCCGAAGACGGCTGTTGCTCTATGACTGAACGAAAGGGGACAGAGAGAGCAGAAAGAGGGGGACATGAGGCGTTTGTGTTTCTGATAGGGCATGTTTTGTGGTTTGTGAGATGGGGATGTGGGCTTTTGCGGACTTCTTTTGGATTGGAGTGTTGCGGGTGGGGTTGATGGGTTCGTTTCGGAAGTATCTATTTCTATGTTTGTGTCATCATCACTGGTGGTTCATGGACGTTGAGGGTCACAGAAAGGAAGAAGATAGAAGGAGATGGGAGACAGGGAGAAGAGTGGGAGGATAGAGGAAACAGAAAGGAAGCGGTTTTATAGGATATAGCTAGGGAGGTGGAAGGGTAAGAGGGAGTGAGAGGGTGGCGTAGGGGGAGGATGGCCATGGCAAGTCCAAATCAGCTCAAAGCATCCGTCCCCTTCGACCTGCCCGTCTCCATCTTCGCAGTCCTCGCCCCAAACTGAATGGCCCTCTTCTTCTCACGAGAAACTTTCGACAAGCCCAGCCGAAGGGCAACAAGCCGCAACGCCAATTTCTCGGAATCGATATCAGCTGTAGCTTCTGTCTCAGGAAGCCCAAAACCGCATTTCACCCACACCGGCGCCCGCGACACCCAAGCCACGAACTCTTCGTCTAGGTACGGGAATCGAGTCTCCCGGCCCCAGTGAGAGAGGACGCGGTCATCCCGACCAAGATTCCGCGAGCCAAGACGGCTGACGTCGAGGTTAATCTCGGAGATGAGGTCTTGGAATCCGCCGCGGTTGAAAGCAACACCGTGGCGGCCGTAGCCGGCGAAGAGCTCGTCTGCCCCTAGGCCCGAAAGGAGAACACGGGCGGACGTTGTGTAAGATGGTGGGTGTGAATGTGGATCAGTTGAGCTGGTTTGGATTGTCCCTTGTCCGCGAGATGCGAAGTATAAGGCGCATGCGATGGATTGATCCATTTCGGTGTTGTGTGGCCTCATTAGACGTTTTACCTGCTCGCGGTGTGCCAGAGTTTCAGAATAGGGGATATCGATGGCGATGAATCGCCAGGTACGCCCTGGGCATGTTTTTTGTAGTTCGCTATGTGCGGAACGGCCGGTCATTCGGTCTGGACAATTTTCGTAGATTGAGAGTGATGGAGATGATGAGTTTTGTTGGTTGGCTTTTGCAGCAGCTGCCACCCTTGGGTTTTCAAAGGCCACATTCAGGAGGTCAATTGGTTCTTCGAGAGAAATGATGTCGTGAGAGAGTCTTGCGAGGAGTGTGCAGTCTAGGCCACCGGAGAAGAGAACTGCAGTTTTTGCTGTCTTGCCTAGAAGGTAGTTTGGTGGCTCTGGTACGTTCTGTATCCTCAACTCTAGTGACTGTCGTAGCATTGACTCAAGCTCCTTGACAAATGGAGAGTCTGTCGTCAGTGCAGGGGGCTGCTCTGTTGGTAATGATGTGTTCATTGGAGGAATTGGTTTTCTCTATAGGATGTCAGTCATTGTTCCTTTGGCCCAAGGGTGAAGACGTACAATATGACCTGCCAGTGGTGAAGGATCCGAGCTCCACGGCAAGGTCTTGATCTGGCATAATTCTCTGGGAGAAACCATAGGATCCTGAGGACGTTCAAGATCAATCGTATAAACGCCCTCTGTGCCGACCTCCCTGAAGCAAGAAATCGATGAGCTATCGCAAATGCTGCAAATCTTCAGGTTGCCATTCTCATCGAATCCTTCCAGGAGAGATCTTCTCCCAAGGCAATCTCTGCTGTAGAAGACTCTTGAGTGAACCGCATCATAGAACACAAAGGCGAATGGCCCAGAGAGACTCTCAATAGCTTTAGCCAATCTTTCGACAGCATCGTTAGTTTCACACTGGACAGCCTGCAGGAATAAGTTGAACACATCCTCAGTATCGTTGCCCTGGACGCGCTCCCCGCCGATCTTCCAGGCTTCTCCGTTCCAGCAGAGCACAGACTGGGTTGTGGGGTCTACAAGTGGCTGGGCGTACACATGGTCACCTCTCAATGAAAGGACTGTCGACGTGAAGGTGAGATAATAGGACAGGGGTGAAGTTGACCCATCCTGTCCCTTGATATCTTTTTGCAACGTGAGAGTTTTACAGCTGTCTGGCCCTCGCTGTTTAAGCAGATTGCAAGTCTCCTGTGTTGATGGTGTCAAGCTTGATGAACTCAATGAGAAGAAGATCCCACACATGGTGGTGACAGGGCGAGGGAGGTTTGTTGTTTGGGGTTGGAGATGGGCAGCTTTTTATGGCTTGAATGTTGCCTCTGGCCGCTTAGTCATATTTATAGACCCCTGGGGCTCCTCTAATTCGCATATAACTTGTTTGTTTAGGCGATATACAGGATGAAGCGCATTGCCTTGAGCTGTGCACTTCAAAAAGAAACCTACAATTGCTACCTTCTACATAAGTTATCGACGCGTAGAGTTGACACCTGACATCTGAGGCGCAAATCGGTTGAACGATGATCCGCGCATCAACATGAGCCTCATGATAGCACATGTTCGTGGTCTCTAAGAGCCCCTGAAATATCCCCCTTTTTTGCCCTGGCGCACATGAAGACCACAGATGTCGGCCTCAGAACCCTCGACATCTCAGGCTCCCGAGACGAGGGACCTCCATAATGAAGATGCTGAGACGTCCGTAGCCGCTACTCCAACCGATCTCTCCGCTCAAACACAGGAGGAAACCTCGAAACCAGATAACAACAAAACCGGCGAGATGGGCCAAGAAGAGGTGAAAGAGCCACTGGAGTCGGTTGCTGCCTCGGATCCAGCTTTGAAACCCTCGACAATAGCTCCCCAACCCGCATCACTACTTGATCAAGAGCCACTTGCGGGGCAGATGGAAAGCCTGTCAGTCTCAGGAAATACCATACCAGACCAGTCACCCAGCGCAAATGCTCCTCCTCCTCCTACTCCTCCCGAAAAAGACGATGTGTACCTCAACTCAACCTCCACGGCCCCCGCGCGAACAGTCCCACCTATTGATACAAATTCCGCCAACCCCGAGAAAGAGCTCCCAGACGTGCCCAGCCAGAATGACACAGAGACAAAGCGAGCTGCTCAAAGCGAAGAAGCTCGAGAAGATAACGATTCTCAGCCAGAGATTCAAAGCATCATGGGACAATTCCAGGACCCCGCGCGGAGCACCGACCAACAAGAAATCATGTCTCCCCGACTCGAGCTTGCTGATCAGTTCCGCGGTCCCAACTATTTCCCGCCGCGCAAGTCGAGTCTTGATCCTGCGCCTCCGGCTGAATCTCCAGCTTCTCCGGTAGGCACATCGCCAGAGAGTCAGACATTACCCAAAATACCCCACAAGTCTGTTGCCCATGATGAGTCGATGTCAACCCGGCGGTCGTCTACCTCAACGGTTCCACCAATGCCAGAACCCGAATCAGACCAGCCCTTTGACTTCCACCGGTTTCTCGAACAACTGCGCCACCGTACTGCAGACCCGGTGGCTAAGTTCTTGCGCTCATTTCTTATGGAGTTTGGAAAGAAGCAATGGATGGTCCATGAACAAGTCAAAATTATCAGTGATTTCCTGACGTTTATTACGAATAAAATGGCGGTATGCGAAATCTGGCGCGATGTTTCAGATAGCGAATTCGATAATGCCAAAGAAGGCATGGAGAAGCTTGTCATGAACCGCTTGTACTCCCAGACTTTCGCACCGGCCATCCCAGCTCCTCCAACAATACCCAGGAGTGCAAGTCGGAGCCGACGGAGAGAGCTCGAGAGGCTTCATGGGCCTTGGCGACGAGGTCAGCACCAAGAGGATATTGAACGAGACGACATCCTGGCTCAGAAGATTCGCATCTATGGCTGGGTCAATGAAGCACATCTCGATATTCCACCGGTGAGCGGCGGTGGACGTCGGTTCTTGAATTTAGCGCAGCAAGGTATGCACACACCTTGACATCTTCTGACTAGTCTGACTTGCTTTATAGAACTATCCAAAATTAATGGCTACCGGGCTCCACGAGATAAGGTGATCTGCATCCTCAATTGCTGCAAGGTTATCTTTGGTCTTTTGAAGAATACCAAAAAGGCCGATACGTCCGCGGACTCCTTCATCCCTCTCCTGATCTATGTTGTTTTGCATGCAAACCCAGATCATCTTGTATCCAACATTCAATACATTCTACGGTTCCGCAACCAAGACAAACTCGGCGGGGAAGCAGGATACTACCTGTCGTCTTTGGTATGTTTTCATCCGATATAGACCACATTGGTCAGATTTATACGGCCTATCAAGCTGACCTATTCTAGTCTGGAGCCATCCAATTCATCGAGACCCTCGACCGCACCAGTCTAACCGTCAGCGACGAAGAATTCGAGTCCAACGTCGAGGCTGCTGTTTCTGCCATCGCAGAACAGAATCGTGAATCGGAAACCTTCCAAGAAAAACCATCTACCCAACCCGCCCCCTCCCAACCACAAGCCGGCCCAAGCCGCAAAGAAGCACCCCAGTCCAGCGACGACGATAGCGCCGCCCCCGTCGCAGGATTACTTCGCACCATCCAAAAGCCTCTCTCCACTATTGGCCGCATCTTCTCCGACGATGGTGACGCTGGTTCTTCAGCTTCCCAAGACCGCCCCCAACCCGTCCCCACACCTCAACCTGGCGTCTCTCCAGCCCGTCTCACCCCGAACGTCTACCAACCCCCGCGTGCAAGTAGCGAGGAAAGACGTCGCTCTGGCGATGAGCGCTCCGGCCCTATCCGCCATGGCAGCGGAGCCTCCGCCAAAAAGAACTTGACCCGTGTTCTCGATGCCCAGGACGCGGCGGCCCGCCAGGCTAGCGCTGAAGATGCCGAGGCGCGCCGCATCCAACGCAAAGAACATAATAATGTTGTCGAGACGCTGTCAAACATGTTTCCCAATCTGGACAAGGACGTCATTGATGATGTCGTTAAGATTAAAGAGGGCAGGTTAGTGCTCTATGTTCAACTTATGAACAGTTCTATTGAACCTCAGCTAACTATTGACAGGGTTGGTCTCGCTGTGGATGCATGTCTCGCTCTCAGCGCAGAGTAGTATATAGATTCTTGCGTCTTTTGCTTCGCAAGAACAGTGGCAGTATCTGTTTTCAGGTTTAGATGAATTAGCGCAGCGCGAATAAGTAATGGCTTTTCATAACTGATCATATTTCAACTTGTACTACCAAAGTAGTCGATGTTGATATCTCCGATACTTCGATACCACGGGCTTTTTTTTTGAGAGAGAGAAAAATTTAGAATTAAAACTCAATCAATAAAGATGGACAATGCATCCGCTGCGGCAAATACAAATACAAATAGTTCTGTATTGAAAGATGATTACTGAACTTCTCCAGTGTGGACAATCGGCAGTTGGACAGCGCAAACTCCCAAGATCCTCGGCTCCCCGCAAAGACCGCGGTCTCTCTCGGAAATTTATTGGACCAAATCCCCATACTTCTGGGCACCACGAAATCAGGGAGTATACATTCCTCCCGTCTCTCTTTTTATTCTTGTACACTGCCCACCATGTCCTCCCCCTTCCGCATCGTCGAACATGTCGTACCAAGCCAGCACATCCGGGAATACCCTGGCGCCACAGCCAACGAACAGGAAGAGCCCCTGCAACTAGCCGTGAAACAATACATCCCTCTCGACAACCCCGAACCGCAACCAGGCGACGTGACTATCCTCGCTGCGCACGCCAATGGCTTCCCCAAGGTGTGTAACAAATTGCCGAGGTCCAGCTCCGACCCGCTCCCGGAGCTGCGAGTCGCATTGTGATACCATGCGCAAATGACGATATCCTAACCTCTTTCTCAGGAGCTGTATGAGCCACTTTGGGAGGAAATCCACGCGCGATCTAAGCAGAATGGTTTCCGCATTCGCAGTATCTGGATGGCTGATGTCGCGCAAGAAGGCGAGAGCAGTGTGATCAATGAAGACTCGCTGGGAAATGATCGTATGTGACTTGACTTCATGGAACGAATGCATTCGTACTAACTATGCCACAGCTAGCTGGTTCGATCACCCGCGCGATCTCCTCCACCTGGTCAATGTCAAGCGGGCAGAGATGCCCCGGCCCATCGTCGGCATCGGACACAGCATGGGCGGCGCCCATCTGTAAGTCCAACCCAACATACAAACCAAGCTCTACACATAACTAACAAGCCCCCAGCGCCCAACTATGCCTCATACACCCCCGTCTAATCCACACCCTAGTCCTCCTAGATCCAGTGATCCAACGCCAAACAACCCAACTAGACAGCCTAAGCCTCCTAAAGAACAAGCGCGAAATCGCCAAAACAACCCAACTATCCACACATCGGCGCGACATCTGGCCCTCCCGCCAAGCCGCACTAGAAAGCTTCCAACGAAGCCCCTTCTACAAAACCTGGAACCCACGCGTGCTCTCGCGTTGGGTCGAACACGGCCTCCGCGACCTCCCAACAGCTATCCACCCGCTCCCACCAACAGCAGACAAAGCCAATCCCCCAGTAACCCTCCGCACGACCCTGCATCAAGAAGTCTTCACCTTCTCCCGTCCAAACTATACCCACATCCCCGGCAGTCCCGACCCCGTCAACCGCGTCACACACCCAGACCTAGACGCCGACCATCCAGACACATACCCATTCTACAGACCTGAGCCAGCGCGTATATTCGCGCAGCTCCCGCATTTACGTCCGAGTGTGCTTTACATCTTTGCTGGGAAGTCAGATATGTGTCTGCCGTCTATGCGCGCGGATAAGCTTGCGAATACGGGAACTGGGCTGGGAGGGAGCGGGGGTGTTGCGGCGGGAAGGGTGAGGGATGTTTTCCTCGAGGAATTCGGGCATTTGCTTGCTCAGGAGGCTGTGGATGAGTGTGCTGATGCCGCTGTTGCTTGGCTGGCGCCTGAGTTGGGACGGTGGAGGGATGAGGAGGAGGGGTTCCGGGCTGTTTGGGGGAAGAAGTCTAGGCTTGAGAAGGTTACTGTTGATAAGGAGTGGCTGGATAGGGTTCCTGCGCCGGTGAGGGGGGCTAAGAAGGTTGAGTCGAAGCTTTGAGAGGGTTACAGCGGAGTATACTGCATCTACACTAGCACATACCTCAATCTAGACCATAAACCAACTATTGCATCGTGAGATATTTTCTATTGCATTTCATATCCTACGAATGACACTGAATGCAAAATCCAATCCACCCGATTCCCATCTATAGCAACCACCCCCACGCCTCAGCTAAAAAGGTATATGTATGCACCAAAGCCAAACAAAAAGGTATCGTCGTCTCAGGGACGAATCGAAAGTGTGCCATGTGAAAGCAACAATAACGCCAACAATTGAAACGATCAACAAGTGCCCCGAGTTTCACAGCAAAAAAGATAGACAGGAAGGAGCGTGGTATCTAGTTCATGTTCATTTGCAAAGTCGTGGTGTATCGCTCCCAGGCATAAGCGCTGAAGTGAGTCAAATACAACGACGGAGAAAGTGGGAGGGAGGAAAAACACTGAAAAAAAGCCTGGAAGGGTCTTTTCAGGTTGACTTTTTGTCTTGGGTGACATTGTCAGCGGTGCGGACCACTTCGGGGATATGCCAGAAGCGCGCCCAGCGCAGGTGGTACTCGTCCTGGCGGTTATTGAGGCAGTGACGGAGCCAGATGCCCCAGATGATATAGAGGTATGCGCCAAGTCCAGTCATGACGTGCCTGCATGGAAGTTGTTAGCGAGATGGCCAATGCCAACTTCGTAGAATAATAAAGGCGTGAGCTGAAACATACCACCAACCATGACCTTCCAAAACAAGACCCCAAGGCAAGCCAACCTTGCGACGCAGCTGCCGAATCTGAGAGCAGAACACATTATCCAAATTCCAAATAAAGAACCCGCCCAGGAACATGATCAATCCATAAGTAACCATGAACCACATGGTATTGAGGGTCTTCTGATCGCGCACGTTCTCGTAGTGCTGGCGCTCCTTGGTTGGCACAGGGAGACCCTTCCTCTGGCGCTCTAGGCGGTCTTCCTCGGTTGAGTGGCGCCACTTTGGTCGCAGAGTTACTTCCATGGTGTGCATACTCCGGAACACCACGATGACTGTTAATAGGGCATAGGCGTTCTGATGGAAGACTGGGTCTTGGAGGTAGTGGTAGTATAGAGTGATGAAGACGGCTAGGCCAGTTAGAGATAGGGCGAGCCAGATTCGGAGGGTCACTGAGCGCGAGTAGGAGAATGAAGCGTAGACCATTAGACAGGTTGTGTATATCATGGAGAGCTCGTCGACTAGTTGCATAGGGTCTGGTGGGGGTTGGTTAGCTTGGTCCTTGTGATGTATGCTCTGCCTTGTGGTTGTCGCGATTTGACTTGGTATGGGTTGGAGGTGGGACTTGCATTTCAATGTTGAGTGGAAGAGGAAGCTTCCTGTTCCGACTACTAGGTAGCCTAGCAGGGCGACGATGAAGATCTGGTCATGTTGATTGCGAATGCAGCTGAGGATGCCCCTTAGCCCAAGCCACATGAACATCAGATTTGTGAGGGTGTTGACGATTTCAGCGGAGTATTCGGTGGCATAGTAGTCCTGGAGAGCATTTGTTAGCTATGCTTCGTCTGTGTCCCATCATGGATCGCATACCTCTTCGCACCAGTTCAAGGTGGAAGTGACAGGCTCCCAATACCCATCCTTTGCAGGCGGATAAGGGAAATGAGGCAGAAACCAATCCATCAGAGATAAGGCCTTTTTCGAGAGCTTTGGGGGGGAAAGTGAGGAAGAAGAGAAAACAAGAGATGACGTCGATTATCACCCCCCAAATTGGCGATAACTGATTGGTGGCCCGAGTCCGCGCCATGCCGGGCTGTTTGCGGCGTATTTTTGTTTTTCTTAGTTATATTTACTATTTACTGTTTGCATTTGTATTTATTTTTATTTTAGTATTTACTATTCTCTATTTACTATTTACTGTGCTATCTATGCAAGACTATAGACATAGACTCGGACATAGATATAGATATCGTAAGTACGCAGTTGCATGTAGATGTATGAACGTTGGAGCCTAACTCAGGAAGTTAGTATTATTAGTGGCATGTTATGTATGTTATATGAAATGACTGTTATTTATGCAATTGTGTAATTGTGCAATGCAATTCAATGCATTTACAATTGCATTAGAGCATCTCTGCATAGTTAGCGTCATGTAGAAGGTGTATGTGAATGCGGTGAGGCTTATCAGTTGCAGATCCCGATGACTTCACTTCCCTCTTTCTTCCGAGGTTCACACCAATCGCATCACATTTTCAGTTGAACCGAGTTCGTCCCTGGTGGAATGCAAACTATTCAACCTTGACTGTGACGGTTGTGGTCTGGGGATTCTTCACTATTTTGCCATTGCTATTTTGCGGCTATTTTGCGGCTTTGCGGTTTTTTACGCATCCGGCTACCACCATCCCGCCTCGCACACGCGACTCTCACCTTCGATCTGGCATCGAATCCTCTATCCTCAGCCTAATCACTCCCACTGTCATATTGCAATCCGGATCGACTGTCGAACCAGCACAATGTCGAACAACGGCGTGGTAGCAGTGCCGCAGGTGAAAACCGGCTCCTCAACAAGTATGCCTCTGTCAAAGCTTAATGATTTCTCCTGCTAACTGTTTATTTGTTGCAGCCTCCAAAACCCCATTTCACTTTGCCGCAGGTCTATGCTCTGGCCTCACATCTTCCATCCTCCTCCAACCTGCCGATCTCCTCAAAACTCGAGTCCAGCAATCCCAGGGTGCCTCCCTCCTCCCAACCTTGAAGGCAATCATCTCCTCCCCAAACCCAATCCGTGGACTATGGCGTGGCACACTCCCTTCAGCCCTCCGCACAGGCTTCGGGTCCGCCCTCTACTTCACTAGTCTCAACGCACTACGCCAGGCCGTTGCGCAGACCAACCCAATGGCACTAGCCAGCCCAATAAACGCCGCCAAATCCTCCTCTGTCCTTCCCAAACTCTCAAATACAGCCAATCTAGCCACCGGTGCTGTCGCAAGAGTCGCCGCGGGCTTCGTAATGATGCCCGTGACCGTACTCAAAGTCCGCTACGAATCCGACTACTACGCATACCGGAGTTTACTAGGCGCAGGACGGGATATCGTCCGAACTGAAGGTCTACGGGGACTATTCGCAGGGTTTGGTGCCACAGCCGCCCGCGACGCTCCCTATGCAGGCCTCTACGTCCTATTCTACGAACAACTCAAGCGCCGCTTTTCCCTGATGGCCAACAAATCCGCCAACAACGAGACATCAGCCACAACCGTATCCTCCTCATCCTCAATCAACTTTGCCTCCGGCGCAGCAGCAGCCGGTATGGCAACCGCCATCACCAACCCCTTCGACGCCGTCAAGACTCGCCTGCAGTTAATGCCAGCCAAATATGGTAACATGGTGCATGCCACGCGGCTGATGCTGCAGGAAGATGGCATACGCAGTCTCTTTGGTGGACTCGGTCTCCGCATGGCCCGCAAAGCGATTAGCTCGGCGCTTGCTTGGACCGTCTATGAGGAGCTTATCCTGCGCGCTGAGAAGCGTCTGGAAAGGAATCACCAGATGGGCCTTTAGGCTTGTATTTTGCCTACCCTTATGGTCCCTTTCCCTATATACTTGACCATTCCACTTTTTGTATAATAGCCCGAAAATCGAGACCTCTGGTCTGCATCCGTGCCCGGATGCGCATGTGCATACCTTGCATTAAGCATGGTCCAATGGGAGTTTTAAGATGGAGATTGATAGACTGCTGTGCATAATGTTTATCAACTCTCCAACTTCACCTAGAAACTTCAAGTTTGAATCTATCTTGGGGATTTACTCCAAATTGCTACTATGCTGAGAACCTACTTGTATAACAGCCAGGATCGTCACCGAACTGTCTATTGACAGGCGAGGTTGACTGGATATATAGAATTGAGTAGTGATAAACGAGATTGGCAGAGAAAAGAGAAGAAAATATGTCATCAGCCCATGTCGCGTTACTGTACTACCACATGTTCTGTGATGAAAGAAAAGAAATAGACAGAAACAAATCGCAACTCAACACAATTTCAACGGGAAGCAATCATATCAATCCTGAGCTCATAAAAGAAATCCCAGCAAAACAAAATATCGGCAAAAACAGTGTGTGTAAATCAACTTTCAAGCATCAATCGTATCAAACCCTAAGCGGACACTTATGCGAAGATGCGCAGTCGGCCCTTAGGGCTCTTCTTCCGAACCAGATACATCTTGTCCTTGTTGCGGTCGTTGACTCTCAATTCAGTCAGCGAGTGGGAGGTCTGGGCAATGACCCTCTGGTGCTCCTTCTGATGACGGATGCGTTGAGTGTGGGCGAAGAGCTCCTCTTGGAGATCCTCGGTGATCCATTTTTTGATGATAATATATTCGGTGTCATGCTGCGGAGTGTTAATATACTGCGACGATATACTGGATTTTCTCTTACCTCGTCCCAGTCCCAGGGAAGACTGTAGGCGATCAAGGTCTCTGGCAGCAAGTGTTTGCGATGTACCTAATAGAGAGTTAGTCAAATCACCAAGTAGAGAAAGGAAGATGCATGCATACCTTGATCCATGTAGTCTTCTCCTTCTCCTCCTTTTCTTCCTTCTTTTCTTTCTTCTCTTCCTTCTTCTCCTTGTTCTTCTTCTTGAGAATAGCCTCGATCTCCTCCTCAGTGTACCCAAACTCAATGCGCAGGCGATCACGGAACTCCTTGTCCTTTCGCTCAGCCTCCTCCTTCTGCCTTTGCTTAATCCTCTCCTGCTCAAGCTTCCACTCCTCAACAGCAGCAGCCTTCATAGCCATCTCCTTAGTCCTCCTCTCAGCATCCTCCCTCGCCTTCCTCGCCTCCTCCTCCTTAATCTGCCTCACAAGCTCATCCCTCTCCTCCTTCTCCTCCTGCAACCGCGCAATCTCCTTCAGCTTCTCCTCCCGCACAAGCCGACTCCTCTCCTCCTTCTCCTCCTGCAACCGCGCAATCTCCTTCAACCTCTCCTCCTTCAACTTATGCTTGACCTCCTCCTCTTCAGCAGCAGCCCTCTGTGCCTCCTCAAACTTCTTTAATTTAAGCCTCTCCTCCGCCTCCCGCTGACTCTCCTCATTTCGATACTTCCGCTCATACCGCTCAAGCTTCCGCAACCGATCCCGCAACTCAGCCTCATAAGCCTCCTCCTCATCATGCAACCGCCACGACTCCCTTGGGTCAATCTGTGCAGGCGGCTGCGCAGCTACCTTCTTAGCCTTCTCATGCGTCCGCGCAAGCTCCCGCTCCAGCCGCTCAATCTCCTGCTGGTGTTTCCAGATATCCAGATCCTGCCGGATATCGTTGCGCTCCAGCATGTGCTGGTTGGCAGCTAGCTCTTGGTCACGGTTGAAGTGATACGGCGAGGCATCCCGTGAGACGCTGCTGTAGCGGCGCTCGCGTGAGCGGTGCGAGCGCCCGGGCACTTGGATAGCGGGCACGCCTGGCGCTGGCGGGGCAGGAGGCACTTGGACGATGTCTTCGTCGTGGAAGTGGTTGCCGTTGTGCTCGCTGACGCGGTGCTGGACTCGCCGCGACGAGGGTTTGTTCTCGCTGCGCTGGGCTTGGTCGTTGAAGATCATTACTGTTGGGGTTTGGGGTGGGTCACGCTCGCGCCGCCGTCCGCCGCCTGTTGAAGCCGACCGGTGCAGTCGAGTTGGTTGAGCTGGTGCCAGGAAGGTCTTCACTTCTGGGCGGGCATGGTGGTGCCGCGAGGTTGAGCGCTGCCGGATGTGGGTGCGTCCTCCTGGTCGGCGGAGGGAGACGTCTGTCTCTGAGAACTCTGAGTCCTCAGAGGTGTAATCGTCCTCCCAGACTCCCATAGGCATTTTGGGTGGTGGTGGTGGTGACGTTTAGGGTGTAGATTGGGGTGTAGATTGGGCCCGATAGAGGGGGCCTTGGGGTTGAGTGTATCCGATGTAGAGTAGAACGGGAAACCGGAGAGAAAAAGGAGAGAAGATGAAAATAGAACAAATTCAAATTAGAATAGGCGAGAGGGGGCCAAAAACAGTGCGTGAATACGAGAGACGAGGCTGTCTTATCGACGATCGCTGGGCGGGGGAGGGGCTGGGAGAAGGAAAGAAGAGAAATAGTCAGGAGAACAGGTATTTATTCAGCTGAGTCTATATGCATTTCAGCCTCAGGGATTCATCTTACATGCCCTATTTGACTCAACTTTCTCGTCTCTTCTATTCTACTCTTCATATCAACTCAACTATATTCTACCCTCTATTGCCTCCCATCCCCTCCATTCCCTCTATTATCCCTCTCTCTCCCACACACTTTCTCCCAGGGTTTCTCACACGGCATATCATCATCGAGGCCCACTAAGAGCCCACCCTTAACGCCCTATCACTCCTTCTAGACCGCAAATTACATGAAACCCCACCTACGAAAATAGGCCCGATCAGACCCTTCTGCACCCTCCAAACGCTGATGCATGTCAATACCGACATCTGCTTCCTCAGTGAAGTATGGATTTGTCGCGCGCGTCTTTGGATATTCAGTCTCGACGATCTGGAAATCTAGATTTGTTTCGTGTTTTCCATTGTTTCTTTCCTACCCGAGCCCTGGCCCCGGCTCCTAGTCTGGCACCTAGTCTAATTCCCGATAGGCAGTAAGCGCCTAATAACTGGATACAGTATTGGATATTAGATCGGGCACCAAGGGGGTGTTTCATGTCGTAGAAGACATACTCTACCCGGGTGATGTATGATTTATAGATCTGGAAATGTGAAATGTGGAATGTGAATGTGAACCCGTGGATTAGTCGGGTGTTCCCGTGAGCAGACCCATGGGCACATGATTGATGTCACGGTGTATACAGACAGCTGCCCTATCAATTATGACACTTTCAAGTCTAACCCTGCTATAGGTATCAGGGTTTGAAATAGAATGACTAGACCAGACATAGATATAGATCTCACACTAAAAGTCTCACATCTAAAACAGACTACATAACACCCACACCTTATACTAACAACAGGTCAGCCACACCCCGCCATCATATCTGCAGTATACAGTGCATGACCAACATGAGCGAAACAAAGTACCACGCCACATTAATATCATGTCCAGCCCTAAATCAGACCCTCTCCTATGGTAGGGACACACTCTTACCTACCAGTCCGTTTGCCCGTCAATACATGCACTATAATGTACATGCATGGAACTCGCCACAATCAATACAGACTATTCTGTTACACCGCACCTCAGTGTGTCGTCAGTGCTGATTCCCGGATTTCTAGTGAAGGTGTGTGGTGTAATTTACGTCATTTTTAATATATCGCCCACGGGTTGTGGGACTCTTTTTTTGCCCGCATTGGTGACGGGTGCCGTAGCCCTACTTTTTGTACTTTGGGAATGACGCCGATGGCGTTGGGAGCAGGGATTTGGTTACGCATGAGTGTGTCTAGATTTTGGGAGGGTATAATGTTTTGCTAATTTGGGTCTTTTTGTTGTGCTTGTGGATGTGTGTAGATTTGTGATCGGGCTGTCTTGGCGGGCTTAGATATCGAGGGCTTACTGTATGTTGTTTGATGTCGGAGATATTTTCTGTTATCTTGAGAGTAACTTCGACGTGTTTCTCCATGCATGGACAGATGCTACTGCATTGTGATAAGGCCTTATCGGCCCCACTGTGTTGCTTTTAAGATGCAGCTAGTAGATGTCAAATGTGAGGCTATTTTGTTGGTATCTTTGGGATAGTCTCTAGACTCTAGGATATAGACTCGAGGATATATTCCAACTAGTACGTCTATGGCGAAATCAAAAGTATTTCAATATTGTGGGTCGCTATATAAATTAGATGAAGCATTCAACTTGTTTACCATACCAGTCTACAGTGATACGATCATGATATCAGGTCGGCATCGATAGAACAAGTGTAAAGAACATATTCGATATACTATCCATCTAAATATGTGAAAGAGTTAGGCTATCAAGCACACCTCTCCTCTCTCATTAAACACATTCCAGCAAACAATGAACTCCTGGGTATCTAAGTCACAGCCGGCAACTCAAGTATACATGTGTAGAACCAGACCAGCCGGATATAGAAGGGCGACCATCTGTACCCTGGATTTTTCCGGGTCTTCATCCATATGATGACATCTTAATCCATCTCCGCTCTTTGTGTCGCAGGCTCACAAGAAGGAAAAAGCAGGGACTTGCGTCAACTGTTCTTCAATTTGGAGCCATTGTAACCACCAAGCCTTCGGTATAAAGACACCCTTAAGAATAGACGCTCCCATTCGGCGCATCACACCCTTTTTTCGTCTCTCTTATCATCCAATCATATCACTTCACGCCCTACCCCCAGACTTGAGAATCTGCTCAAAGTTCTCCCGGGAGTTCTTATGCGTCGTCTCATGGTAATGAAGCTTCTTCTCCAAGTTCGTGATCTCAGAGCTGGCCTCGCCGCTCTCGCGTGCAAGGCGTTTGTTAACGGTATCGATGGGAACATTGACGAACCTAGAACAGGGGATACAAATCAGACTCAGTTTCATATAGATAACCAATAAAGGCGACGCAACTGGACAAATGTCTCATATCCCAAAATCGAAAACGAACACCGCAAGACAGAAAAAGAAGTCACAGAAAAGCAAAACCAAAGCAAAACAGAATATGACAGAAATGGCAGGAGCTTACATCTTGCCAACACCCTCATAAACCCTTGTCTCAGATGGCAACTCGGACAACTCCTTCGATGTCAGCTGCAACATACGGATATCGCGCTGCTTGGCTGTCATGTGGGCCTTGGTGATTCCGATTTGCTGCTGTGAGGCGATGGCGCGGGTTTCGATCTCCGAGAGGAGCTGTTATGAGATTAGTTAGCGTCTCTGTATATGGATGCACCATTTTGAGCTGGACTTTAGGCGTGTCTCCGAGATTGGGATTAGAGGCTGAGTGAGACCGATTCTCGGCGCCCCCTGATCCAATCCGTGGGCCTTGTCCTGTCCAGGCACGCTGGGAGTATTTGTTTGAGCACGCACCTTCTGGAGAGCTTCGTTGGGGATCGACATTTTGGCTGTGCGGGTGTTGCTTTTGGAGCTTGGATGTGGTTGAGGGGTACGGTGGAGGGGTGCGGAGGATCGAAGCGAGATTGTTCAATTCAGGGCGGAGGTTTAGATTGTATTGGAATAAATGGCGATAGGCCGGGATTGGTTCGTGTTATGAGAGACTGTTTCACTCAGTTGTCACCACGCAATATCTTGATCAACAGAGTCAGTGAACTTGTGCTTTGGGGTCTGATGAAGGCGGTGGCGGAGAGGGCGGTGAGCAACGGCCTTAGGGCTCGAAGTATACAAGGATTTAACTGTTAACTTCACAATCTATTTGATTATTTTGTTCTACTTTGGCTTTCTTGGAATAATATGGAGTGAATATTCGACAAGTAAAAATTCGCGAAAATAAACAGATTACCACCCCCCGTCATTCTTCGACATCAGAAATCTAAATCAGACAGGCCCCCAATTTCGTACTTGATCAGCGATCAACAAAAAGAAATAAACTTGATACCTCCCCCCAAAAAAAAAGGAAAAAGGTGACATGACAGAAAGTGGCAAAAGAAAAGTGAAAAAGACCAAGCAAAGAAAGCCACCCTGAGGCTCAAACGCCCAGTTCCATTTCCCCCCTGAGCTTTTGTTGTAAAGCCCATCAGCATGACCAGCTCTTCTGCTCTTCTCGGCCGGGAGTGCAGCAGCCAGAGATGGTCAGCCTTAGCTCATTGAACGAGAAGACGTATAAAAAGCTCATGTCCAAAGAGGGAGTGAGCGAGTCGATTTCATGGCAATGTGGCTTAGTAGTTTTGGGCCGGGGCCTCGGGGCACCAAAGGTCAAACTCGCCAGCGCCAGCATCGCCCATACCAGAGTGCCCGCACTGCAAGTCCCATGATTGGTCCTGAGTATCGGTGTTGTGCATACTGGGGAGGCAGGCAGATGCCATGTGAGGGTTCTGGTATGGGGCAGGATTGGCAGTCATGGCCGCAGCCGATGTGCCAGGGAAGTATCCTGTGGTGGGATCCTCACCCCAAGTTGAGTAGGAGGAGATACCAGGGCCGAAAGCGGCTCCGGTTATGTTGGGGAGCCCAGTAGCATCGCTGCCGTTGGGATACACGAGCAGCTGGGGGTCCATCTGATGGCCCGTGGGGGTAGATTGGGGCTGGAGCAGCTCGTGGTGCGAGGCACCGGGGAGACCAGCGAGCGAGGAGCCGTACTGGATGTCCTGTTGGAGAGGGGGGCTGGTAGTACGGAAGTGCTCATGCTCCATGTGGCTCAAGCCGTGAAATGAGTTGGGCTGCATTGGCAGGCCAGTGGGGTGACTTGTGTTGGGCCATGAGGGGCTGACGTAGTGAGGCATGGACATGCCGTGCTCGGGGGTGCCGTAAGGTGAGGGATCCCGACTGCTGTCGAAGTAACTCTCTTCGAAGCTCTGGGTGCGGGAGTGTGCGTACGATGGCGCTGGTGTCATTCTGGAAACTGTTGAGCCCACTTCACTCTCAAAGTCCGAGCAGAATCCCTCCTCAAGGCCGTGTGATTGTAAAGCAGGAGATCCTTCGTCTCGCCGGTTGACAACGCCTTGTCCTTGCTTGTTTGGCGAGAACTTGTATTCTGGGTGGGTTGCGGCGTGAGCGTCGCGCTCAAGCTTGGCCAAGTCTTCATACTTCTTGCGGATGTCATGTGGCTCCAATTTCCAGCCTTGACCCGCAATCCTTGAGACGACTTGATGGTTGGTCACTCCAACGAGCTTCTTTGTTCGCTCTGAGTATGCAGAGCGGTAGAGCATGAAAGAGTTCATAGGCCGGGAGATTCTTCCCTTGGTCTTGGC